GCCAGTTTGCTCTTTGCAATGCAGCCATTAAAACGGTGCATGCATTATTTTATATTCTGCTGCTTTTAAAATAACATTATGTGATAGAATTATCACTTTAATGGAGACAATATAATCCTCCACTAAGCATTCTTCTGTCATTGGATATTTCAGTCATATAATTTTACTCCAATATTTTATTGCCCTGGAAGAAAGATCTCGTTACACTTAGAGTTCTCTTTTCTTTTGAAAAATTTCCATGTTGTAGAAACTACTTTATTCTTTCTTTCTTTAAACAGCTTTATTGAAATATAATTGACATACAATAAACATGTAAGGTGTACAATTTGATAGACTTAGACATCTTTATGTATATCTGTGAAATTATCACTGCAATCAAGACGGTGTATATGGAGTGCCTGGGTGGCTTAGTTGGTTGAGTATCTGACTCTTGATTTTGGCTGAGATCATGATCCCAGGGTTGTGGGATCGAGCCCTATGTTAGGCTCTATGCTAAGCATGGAGCCGGCTTCAGATTTTCTCTCTCTCTCTCTCCCTCTCTCTCTCTCTTTCTGCCCCTCTCATCTTCTCACTCTAATAAAAAAAAAGATAGTAATATGTCCCTCACCCCTAAAAGTTTCCTTGTGTCCCTTTTCAGTCCTTTGCCTTGCCTTTTCCTATCCCCCTCTCCCATTCTCAGGTAACACCTGGTTTTTTTCCTGTTATTATAAAGTTTGCACTTTCTGGAATTTTCTATAAATGAAGTACATATACACTATGTGTTCATTCTTGTCAGTCTCTTTCACTTGGCATAATTATTTTGAGAATCACCTATGTTGCAGCAATATCTCATTTGTTTTTATTTCAAAATAGATTTCATTGCAAGGATAGACCATAATTTGTTTAACCACTCATATGATAATGGACATTATTTGGTTGTTTATAGTTTGACTGTTACAAACAAAGATACTATGAACATTCATAGATAAGTCTTTGAATGATAATATTCATTCCTTTCTCTTGGGTCAATACCTAGGAATGAAATGACTGGATCATGTGGTAGGCATATGCTTAACTTTTTAAGAAATTACCAAATTGTTTTCCAGCATGGTTGGACTATTTTATATTTCACCAGCATGCATAAAAGTTCAAATGCCTTCACATCCTCACCAACACTTGGTATGGTCTATTTTTCTAATTTGAGTCATTCTAGTACGTGTGTATCTCACTGTGACTATAATTTACAATTCCTCTTTTTTTAAGTTTTATTTTTATTTATTTTGAGAGAGAACAAACAAGTAGAGTTGGGACAGAGAGAAAGAGGGGGAGAATCCCTGCATTCTGTCACTGCAGAGTCTGACATGGGGCCGGAACCCACCAACCTTGATATCATGACCTGAGCCAAAGTCAGACACTTAATGAACAAAGGCACCCAGGTGCCCTAATTTACCATTCCTAATGACTACTGATTAATATGTTGAGATATTTGAATTTAATTATTTGCCATCTGTAGATCTTCTTTGGTAACGTATCTGTTCAAATCTTCTGCCCATTTAAAAAATTTTTTATTAGTGGGGCACCTGAGTGGCTCAGTTGGTTAAGCATCCAACTCTCGATTTCAGGTCAGGTCATGATCTCATGGTTTGTGGATTCAAGCTCCATATCAGACTCTATGTTGACAAGTAGGGAGGCTACCCCTCCCCTGCTCAAGTTAAGAAAGAAACCTTAAAAATAATAATTAGGGGCATCTGGGTGGCTCAGTTGGTTGAGCGTCCGACTTTTGCTTAGGTCATGATCTCGTGGTTCGTGGGTTCGAGCCCCGCATCGGGCTCTGTGCTGACTGCCAGCTCAGAGCCTGGAACCTATTTCAGATTCTGTATCTCCCTCTCTCTCTGACCCTCCCCTGCTCATGCTGTCTCTCTCTCTCTCTCAGAAATAAATAAAACATTAAAAAATAATAATTAAAAATAAAAATAAAGTATTTCTTATCATTGATTTTTGAGGGTTTCTTTTATATAGTCTGGATAAAAGTTCTTTATCAGAGAAATATATGGTAAATATTTTCTCCCAGAGTGTGGCCTGTCCTTTTCTTCACCATGGCTTGACAAAGATGTATAATCCTCTTGTATATATTGTTGGCTTTGAATTGGTACATTTTTGTTCAAACATTTTCTATCTCTATTCATAAGGGATATTAGTCTACAGTTTTCTTATTGTATTTTTAATGGTTTGGTAATCCTGGCCTCATAGAATTAATGAGTTAGAAAATATTCTTTTGTGATATTCTGGATGAGTTTTGTAGACTTGGTACTATTTCTTCCTTAACTATTTGTAAAATTCAATAGTGAAGCTATCTGGGCCTTAGTAATCTGTGTCCTCTCTCATTTTCTCCTGATTGGTCCAGTTAGAGATATATCAATTTTATCAGTATTCTGAAAAAACAAGCCTTTGGTTTCCTTGATTTTCTCTATTATTTTTCTTTTTTCCATTTCATTGATTTCCACTCTGATGTTTTCTATTTCCTTATTTCTGCTCTTTTCTTTTCCTAGTTTCTTAAGGTGGAAGCTAAAGTTAAGACCTTCTATCTAATACATTTAGTGTGATTAAATTTCCTCCTAAGTAATGCTTTAATGGCATCCCACAATCTTTGATACGTTGTGTTTTCATTTTTATTCAATTCACCATACTTTTAAATTTCCCTTTGATTTCTTCTTTAACCATGAGTTGAAGAAGTTTATAATTTAGTTTCCAAACACATAGGGATTTTTCAGAGATATCTTTGCTATTGATTTCTAATTTAACTCCATTATGGTCACAGAACATATTTTGTATAACAAATTCTTTTTAAATTTATTGAGACTCATTTTATGTCCTAGAATATGGTTCACCCCAGCAAGGCTCCCCGTGCACTTGAAAAGAATATCTATTCTCTGCTATTGTTAGGTAGAGTGTTCTAGCAATGTCAGTTAGGTTAATTTGGTTAACAGTATCCACACTTCTCAATCTTTACTGATTTTCTGCCTACTTGTTCTATTAATTATTGAGGATATTAATATTTTTTAGTATAATTATAGATTTGTTTATTCCTATCAATTTTTGCTTTGTGTATTTTTAAACATGGTTATTAGATGCATAAATGTTTAGAATTAGGTCCTCTTGATGTATTGACCCCTTTAAATGATAAAATAAGCCCCTTTAACCTTAGTGATATTCTTTCCTCTAAAATCTACTCTGATATTAATATATCTGCTTCAGCTTGCTTTTGAATAGTTTTGGGATAGTATATATTTTTTCATTTTTCTTCTGTAGACTAAGTTGGGATTGATTGCCTTTGGGAAGCAAAAATACAGATGGGGATAGAAGCAAAAGGTGAACTCATACTTCATTGCTTGGAAAAAGTATTGCAGGTTACCATAAGGACGTTAATGGAAGTGTTGGTTGATTTTTGTTCCTTTCTGTCTTAAGATAAACTAGACTTTATTGCCTAGGAGGATATAAGACCTATAAAAACTGTTCAAAATGAACAGTTATGTGTGTAAGTTACGAGGAGGGTATATTCATTTCCTGCATGATCCTGTCCTAAAGACTTATAGAATTAATTTTAGAAAATCATGGCATTCTGGACATTACACATATCCAGACACACTCTGCCATCAGTAACAGTGATTAATGGAGAGAAAGGAGGAAGATCAGTAAAGCCGTACTGTAAGTTAAAAAGTATGTCCAATCAACATTCTCTTCCCCTTAACCAACTATATAAAAAAACAAACAAAAACCTGGGTGAGACATGAGGCAAAGACTGGAAAAAGTATCTTGGATGAATCAGATAAACACACAGCAAATATATCAACCCATTTATAGCTTTCTAAAATACATTTTTATATGGTGGTTTTAATAGCATTTTTATAGAGATATACTTCCTATAACATAATACTCAACATTTTAAAGTGCACGCTTGAGTGGTTTTTAGCGTACTCATTATGTTATGCAACCACCACCACTATCTAATTCCAGATCATTTCCATACCCTCAAAAAAAGCTTCTGTACCCATTAGCAGTTAGTTTCCATTTCCCCTTCCCCAAACTCCTAGCAACCATGAATCTACTTTCAGGCTTTATAACTTTCCCTGCTTTGGACATTTCATATGAATGGATCATACAGTACACAGACCTTTCTTGTCCATCTTCTTTCACTTACAATTGTGTTGGCAAGCATATGTCAATTTTATCATATTCATCATTCCAAGGTATTTTACTTGAATGTAAGCAAACTATTTGCTCAGAATGGTAATAATTAGAATAGTTAGAATAATTAGAAGAGAGTCAGTCTACAATTTGCAAGTCTCTAGTTCTGGTGCTAATCTCTCCCCACTTCACCTATTTTTTAATAATGTTTTTATTTATTTTTGTGGGAGTGCGTGAAGGGGAAGGAGGATCCGAAGCGAGCCTGACGCAGTACTTGAACCCACAAACCAGGAGATTGAGACTTGAGCCAAAGTCAGATGCTCAATGGAGGAAGCCACCCAGGGGCCCCTCCCATTTTAACTTCAGTGTCCTCTGCTCTACAATAAAGATATTAGGTGACATGACATGATTGATCTCTCTTTATTCCTGTTATGCTGGGAATCTTAAAGACACAGAGACACATACTGCTTGTCTTGTTGCAAAAATCAATCAGCTAGATTTGAAAACTTTAGTTCCTAACTTGATCTAGAGACAGGAAATTTGGGACAGCTGTTCTCCATAATACTTGACCTGATTATAAGCTCAGGAGGTAATATCGGTTTCTTAATCAGGAGAGAAATAAAACAAAAGACAGCCTGAGCCCTTTGTATGGGGGTGTGTTTCCCTTCAATTCTGAAAAGGAATAATGTAATCAATGGTTTTCACTGTGACTTCCTCCATGATAAAAAAGTTTCACACACAAAAAAATAGAAATTTCCATGTATACACTACACTTTTATACTTTTATTTTCGTACCTCATTCACAATAATATCTCCAGTATCCAGAATAGGTGCAGGATCAGCATGCAATATTCAATATTTGTTGAATAAACGGTAGATGGATGGATGGATGGGTGGCTAAGTAGATGGATGAAAGCCATGTAACTAAAGGTTGGCTTAAACAGAAAGGATAAAAAAGACATGTTGAGGTTTCATTCCCATCCCTTCTTACCATGGATAGAGTAAATATAAAACGTTAGAGGTGCCTGGGTGGCTCAGTCAGTTAAGTGTCTGACTCAATTTTGGTTCAGGTCATGATCTCAGTTTTGGGAGTTGAGCCCAGCATTGGGCTCCATGCTGACCATGAAGAGCCTGCTTGGAATTTTCTCTCTCCTTCTCTGTCTGTCACTCCTCCACTCACACTTTCTCTGTCTCTCTCAAAATAAATAAATAAACCTAAAAAATAATAAATATAAAATGTTAAAAATTAAAGCAACAGTGGTTCAGAAGTAGAAATATTTATTTTAATTAATTTTGATACAACACTAGAAACAGTACATTTAATATGCAGCTTTGTTGCAAAAATGAATCAGCACCAGTTCTTTGTTTGAATTATACAGAACCATAGTGTTAATGAAAACATGTGCATGTTCTTTCTGACTGTATTAAAAATAATAAACAAAAATGGAAATGTAAATAAATGTCACCTGGTTCATTTTTACCATTCCTTGGAAGGAGATGAAATGATTATCATATGTTTTTAAGTTTGTGTTTAGCAAAATACATGCCATACATAGTCATGTATATATATGTATGCTTTTGTTAAAAAGCAAAAATCACAGGATTCTGAAAAGCTACACACTTTTAGCTGGGTTGATGCCCTTGGACAGAGGGAGACTTGAAGTCAGTACTCAAGTCTGGGGAGAAAAGTTGGGTGGCACATAAGTCTTTCTTTCTGATGCTCTCCTTCTTAGCTACCATCTGTCCCATCTCTTCTGCTCAACCCTTCTCACCTCTCTCTCCTCTTCTAAAATCTCCCATTCCTGCTCTATCATTACAGCATTTCCTTCCTTCCTGCTCCCACCAGAACCTAACAGGTAACAATGACCCATCTAGCTGGAGAGAATATGACAATCATTTACTTTTTTTTAAAGATTTTATTTTTGGGGCATCTTGGTGGCTCAGTTGATTGAGGATCCACTTCGGCTCACGTCATGATCTCACAGTTTGTGGGTTCAAGCCCCATGTCGGGCTCGTTGCTGACAGCTCAGAGCCTGGAGCCTCCTTCAGATTCTTGTGTCTCCCTCTCTCTCTCTGGCTCTCCCCCACTCATGTTCTGTCTCTGTCTCTCTTTCAAAAATACATAAACATTAAAAAAATTTTTAGAGATTTTATTTTTAAATAATCTCTACACCCAATATGGAGCTCAAATTCACAACACGGAGATCAAGAGTTGCACGGTCCATCGACTGAGCCAGTCAGGTGTGCCCACCCACCCCCTTTTTTGTTTTTTTGGATGACAATCATTTACTTCTTTTCCCCCCTGAGTCAAAGCCCAATAATGAGAAAGAAATTAAGTTCATGATAAATATCGCCCAGCTCCCCAACTTGTCCAAATACTTGTTTGTATCTTCTTTCAATTACTCAGCTATTACAACCTGATTGATGCCTTCATGAGCAGGAACGTTTAAAAATATTATTCTAGTATTTCTAGTTGCTATAAAAATCAAAACGTCTCTGTGTGCTAACATTTGCAATTACACTTACATATCATTGTTGTTGCAGAAAAATACTATACAATCTACTGCACTGACCAGATTCTACTTAACAGCCTTGATTCTGGATTCCCAGCTTTAAATAGTTAATACAGTTCTGGGGTTTTAGTAGGAAGGAATGGCCCTTGAATTCTTCATTTCTTGAACTCTTACATTGCCTCCTAGGATGGAACCCTTTCGGTAAATAGCTCTTCATTTCTTTAACTGGTATCTCACCTTTCCACGCTGCAGCGGCCCATGAATCAGAAAGGATCAGAGCTGGTATGGAGGGTGGGTTTTGCATCTTTTGGTTAAATACCAGAGAGTGCTTGTGTCATGCAAGAGAGCTGGATGTTGTATCAGTCCAGAGCCTGCTCGTGACACCTAACACCGTTCTGACTCCACAACGCCATTTCAATTTCAGTAAGAGGTAGAATGCCTAAACTGTATCCCAACCTCTCTTTGTAAATGCTTTTAATAACTAAAATCTTGATAAATGAGCAGAAATAAAACAAGCTTGTCATGTTTTATATCCAGAAATCAGACCAAATTTCTTCAGTTTGTTTTAGTTTTACCGAACATGTTATTATAATAAAACCTACACCAAAACTTTTGTCTACTTGGGAACCCCATTTTGATGCTGAAATTACACTGGTGCTCACAGAGCAAGTTCCACTTGGCACACCGTACTTTTCTGTTATTATGAAAAGAGGAAAATTTAGAGCAAATGTTTCGGAAGTAAATTTCTAATTTCCTGTACTTAAGCCTTGATTTCAGAAGGGAGTCCTTGTAAGGCTGCAACATGTTTCACTGGTACAAAAATGTTTCATTCCACTGATATATTAATTAATAAGGTACCTTTTGGTTAGCAAATCAGGCAAGCATGCCATTTCTCCAATTATTCAAGATCTACAGGCTCAAAATTGTATCAAAATCCTTTCTAAGAATATAGGTTTTCCAGGGCTCTGTTTTCATTATTATTTTGCTTTGCTCATCAATGTAGTTCATTGGGACACTTTTGAGGAAGCAGTGTTTTTCTTCCAAATTATAATCACCATTCACATCCAAACGTCCTTGAGAAATGTCAGTCCGTACTACATACACAAATGAAAAGAGGTTCGGGTTGCTTCAGATTTCTCATGAATCCGTAAGGCTAGGGTAATGTAATGATTGGCTTTGGAATGGCACAATGCCATCAGTTTTATTGCAAAACAGAGATCTGTCTCACGAGTGGTGACGTGTAGACCTCTGGGGTACAGGTGGCCTCTGAATTCTCACCTGAACTAGAGATTTGCAAATGAGTTTCCATCTGTGAGTTCTCCCAACTAAAGCCTTCCTTTTCCACCACAGACAATTCTCCTTCTTATCCACAGCCTCTTGTCTCAGCTTTCACATGGGAAAGACCGCCAAAGGGACAAAACAACACTTTGCACCTCAGCTGTGATTTAATGGACTGGTAGAAGTTGTTTTACTCAGACTGAAGTAGTAGAAGTACCAGCAATACAGATTTTGGAATGGACTCACTTGAGGTATTGGGATTAAAAAAAAAATCCAAGAACCATGAAATTGGTACTGACTCAGATATAGAGTAGGGTCAGTGTGGGAGCATCCGGCAGACAGCAAATCTTGTACCATAGAATACTTCAGGCACTTAATTTGATAGGTATTGAGATCCAAGAATTGTATGTCTTCCCAAAAGAAATAATCCATTTTGATCGATCTTCCTGGAACTATTCTTCTATGTTCCTTTTTCACTAGATAGAATCACTCATATACTATGATTTTTTTAAAAAATGTACTAAGTCAGTCATGACACCTTGTTTTCTGTTGAACGGTATGTACAAATCCTGTAAATAAATAGGTGAGACATTCCAAGTGGGCACCTGTAAGGCCAGTTACATTTAGAGTTTCCTGGAGCACACGTAAGTGTGAGGTTTGCCCTTCCTACAGTCCTGCGTTTGCCACTTCCCTTGTCTTTGAGCCAAAACACAGTTCTTGCCAGGCTTTGAACGTTGAGGGGGCCCTTTCCTCCAGTTGGTGAAGATGACAGGTTCACCGCCAATCCACTCCCAGTGGCCCGCATGCACTTGGTCATTTAAACCTAATGTGAACCAAAGAATGTGCCAAATTATTTTATTACATTTATGCTTGGACATCATATCAGTCTCTTGCTCTGAGCTCAGGAATCACATACAGACATGCGTCTGCATTCTGAAACACAGAATAGGATCCGGAAATCCTATGACCAGTTAAGAACATATGGCAGACCCAAATCCAAATCCTAGATCTAGCACTTGCTAGTTCGGCATCTTTGAGCAGGTTACCTGACCACTTTGAGTTTTAGTTTCCCCATCTAAGAAATGGGAATAAAAATAGTATATCGAGGGCCATTTTAAGTATTAAAAAAGATAATGCATGTAAATTTCATGGCGTGCATATGCAGGTTTAGTAAATGGCAATTATTATTCATATTATTCCAAAGGCAGAACCCCTATCCCAGAGAAAAAAGGTACTCTCTTGTCTATAGTTCTTCACTATTTAAACGTCTTGGTTTTCATATTCGAAAGGAGCTTAACTAGATATTATTTTTAATCTAGAACGTAAGATTTTTTTCAGTCTGCTATATTTCCACAAAAAGCAGCTTTTCTCAACTTGCTTCTCTACTCTCACTGGCAATTTTACAAATTACACTTTCGTGGGGCAAAGCTTTTGTAATCTTTCTTAAAAAAAAACATTCCTCCTCCTCACTCTCCTACATAATAGAAACAAAGAGAATAAAATCAGAAAAGAATCGCCTGTAACAGCATGATCTGACATCTCCCAACCAAATTTAACCTTCATGAAAACAGTCTGAGTTGCATAGCCTATAACCTCCCATGTGATTCTCCCTCAAGATTTTGGAGTAGAGTAAAATGAACTCCTTCTGGATTGTTTCCTTGCATCATTGATCCTGAGATTCTATGCGTAAGTATTCTGTGGGAATTAGAGCCTTGAAATCAGTCACTATGGAAGCAAAGAAAACATCTCCTCCAGCTTTAACTTAATACTCTCAGAAATTTTCAGAATTTCGAGATGTACTAAGTATTACAGAGATTCTGAGAAGCCAAGATTGGGTTTAGTATAGTTTCCTAAAATCTAATACCTTCAAGGACAGATGGTGAAAATACTGACTTTGAAGTACCCTGAGAATTCTAATTCTAAAAATAGAATCTGAAGAGATTTGTATTATTGTTAAAATTGAAGAAGATATTAAAACTTCAGAAAACAAGGGATAAAATTAAGATCACCTATAATTGTCAATAGGTGAAACATTTCTAACGCTTTGACATATTTCTTTACATATGCCTATGTATATGCCATATGCATATATATATATATATCACATGTACATACATTTTTAAAAATTTTTTAAGAAAATTTCTGAGACAGAGTGAGATACAGAGTGAGCAGCAGAGGGTCAGAGAGAGAAGGAGATAGAGAATTGGAAGCAGGCTCCAGGCTCTGAGCTAGCTGTCAGCATAGAGCCCAACGCGGGGTTCGGACCTACAAACCGCGAGATCATGACCTGAGCTGAAGTCGGATGCACAACTGACTGAGCCACCCAGGAGCCCCTACATACATTTTTTATTATAATTATTTTCTGCTTCTTGGGCTGTGGACTCTGCTTTTTTATTAAGCAACCTGATACAAATGCAATACACTATGTATTTTATATAGAATATGCCTCCAACATGTATTTCTTGAATGAAATCATAAACATAAAGCACGTTGTTACATCTTTACTATTTAATGCCTTACAAAGCATTAAATATTAGATATTTCTTCATATGGGTATACTATATAATTTATTTAACCACCCCCTATTGACAGGTACTTCTAATTTTTTACTTTTACAAATACCATTTGTTGAATTCTCTTACCTATAATCCAAGCCACATCCCTTATTATTTCTCTGAGATAGATGTCAAAAAATGAAAGTATTATGTAATTAAGATGGGTTTTAAAAGACAGACCATCCACTGGGTGCCCCCTCCAAAAAAGAGAAAATAAGCTACCCAACCATCTAACTGTTGCCTGTTACTGTAAACCACGATTATTTGGGCCATGGGAGGGAGGCGCCTTGTTGGTGTTCTGGCCTCCTTCAGTGCAGAGCAGACACTTGCCTATCCAAAAGGGCTTTCTTCCACTGAGGTCCCACAACCACTGCATATGCTTCTTGGAAAGTACAGTTACAAGGCTGCCCAGGTGACTGCAAACAAAAAAAAAAAAAAGAAAGCATCAGTGACAGGGGCTTCAACATTCCTTTTGATATGGAATGCAGAACAGAAATCAAATCTGTTTAAAATAGAAGACAAGTATATACACTATATACACATTATATATACATATATATGTGTGTGTATACACACATACACACACACACACTCCTTATATATAGAGAGAAAATTTTCGAAGATTTGTATGCTTTATTTTTTTATTTTAATGACTGTAAGGTGGGATAGGTAACAGCAAGCAAAGTAATATTTTTTATACTATTTGGGCATAAATTCAATCATTTTTAAATATCTTTAGAAAAATCAGCACTACCTACTTATAAAAATTAAGGCCAAAATGTTACTCCTTTCACAGAGAGACTATCTCTAAATGGCATAAATCTGGCAAACATCCAGTTAATTTGACAGTATGGTAGCCCAAACTATTCAGATAAAATTACTTGAGGCCCACATTTTGTGCTTGGTGTGTTTAATAAAATATCCCAACAATCATGATCCTTTGATCATACTCAGTGAAATATGCATGAAATATTCATAGGTTGTATAAAAGTTAAAGCACATGTTCCTGTAATCTCACATAAATATTTTCCCCCAAGTAGAATTGTTTTTATGTTTAAGGTGTATAGCATAATATCTTGACTCATATACATTGTGAAATGATTATCATTGTAAGTTTATTTTGCATCCATTATCTCATATGGATAGAAAAAAAGAAAAACAAAATTATTTCCTTGTGATGAGAACTCTTGGGATTTACTCTCTTAATAACTCTCAAATATATCATATATCAATGTCAGCTCTATTCTTCATGTTGTATGTGACATCCAAGTACTTAATTATAACTGTAAGTCTGTACCTTTTGACCACCTTCAACCAATTATTTCACCCCATATCCTTGGCCTCTGCCAATCACATCTGATCATTTTTTCTATGAGTTTGTTGTTGTGTTTTGTTCCAAGATTCTACATATAAGTGAGATCATATAGTATTTGTCTTTCTTTATCGGATTCATTTCACTTAGCGTAATACTCTCAATGGATATTATGTTGTTACAAATGGCAGGATTTCCATCTTTTTTTATGGCTGAAATATCCCTGAGTGTGTGTATGTGTATCACAACTTCTTTATTCATTCATCTGTAAATGGACACTTAGGTTATCTCAATGCCTCAATTTACTATAAATAATAAATAAGCTATAAACATGGGGTGTGGATATCTCCTCAACAGTTTATTTTCATTTCCTTCAGATATATTCCCAGATGTGAAATTGCTGGATCATCTGGTAGTCCTATTTTTTTCTTTTGAGAGAGAGTGAGAGCACAAGCAGAGGAGAGGGGCAGAGGGAGAGAGAGAGAGAGAGAGAGGAAGAAAGAGAGACACAGAGAGAGAGGATCTTATTCAGGCTCCATGCTCTGCTCAGAACCCAAGTCGGCTTGATCATGACCTGAGCCAACATCAAGAGTCGGATGCTCCACTGACTGAGCCAACCAAGCACCCCGAGGTAGTTCTATCTTGAATCTTTTAAGGATCTTCCGTACTATTTTCCACAGTGTCTGCACCAATTTGCAATCTCATCACTAGTACACAGTGGGTTTTTTTTCCTCCACATCCTCACCAGCAATTGTTATCTCTTATCTCTTTGATGATAGACATTATAACTGGCATGAGAATTCTTTATGAATTATTTTTGCAGCTAGCTGAATTATTCCTATAAGCAATATTTGACTGTTTCTAATTCTCCAACAGTGCTCATTAAAAGCTCTTTTAAAATGCCTTAAGTAAAAAGCTTGTAATTATTTTTTCCTTTGTTCTTTTTTTCTAATACAGAAAATTTCAAACAAGAAACAAAGTCACCATGATCTTGTCTGGTTAATATCCACTGATATTTTTCAGGAAACAACACTGGTAATACTTATATACGTTTAGAGAACTGTCGAGTTGAATTTTATTCATTTTGCCTGTCTTTCCGAACTTCAGATACATTTCTCTGCTTTTCCAGATGACCTACGGTGAACATAATTTATCTATTTCTTAATGATTTTTTTCCACTGAAACCACTACTTTACTGTTCTATAATGCAGTGGTGAATTATAGGACTCTCTCTTTACCCTTCCCCGAGTGGCCTGAGGCTGCTGGATTTGGGATTTGTGACTTGGCTCTGACCTCATTATTTACTGCCATTGCCTGTCTGACAGTTACGGCAGATTTGACAGTACAACTTCTTCTCTTCCTCTCACATCCAATATGGAAATTCTAACGTGTTGAGGGTTTAGAACACAGAATACCAAATGTGTGTTAAATGTCGGCTGAGGGAAGGCTCGCGGGGCTCTCTCACTCAATATGGTGTATTGAACGGAGTCTGGGAGACCTGAGTTCTCCTCCTGCTCTGCCCCCAACTCCTTTATGGCTATAACTGGAGGCTCATCTTCATCATCAGGAAGTAACAAGTCTTATTCAAGGATATTTAGCATCTCCTCCTTCTTTAAGATTCTTGAAACTACCGTTAAAGCAGACTTTGTAAAATCCATTTTCACTGGTCAAGTACAAGTTTGATTTGTTTTTTGTCTCTCCGAGAAGCAAAAGTCCCAAAAGCGCAAGATGGGAAAATAACTGTATTTAGGACAGGTAAAATTAAACCATGGTCATTTATAAAATAAATATTTAGGCACTGGTATGTTGATTATCTTACAAAACTATTCCTTTTTTACAAAACTATTCTTTAATCCATATCCATATCAAATAGCATGAACATTATCTATATATAGAGAGAGATATAAATAAAAAATAGACACATAAATAAAAATCTTTTGACAGTTCTGCAATGTGAAGGCATTCAAAGTATAGTATTAAAAACAGAAGCTTTAATTTGCCTAGGTAAAGAAATGAACATCTACTTCTCTGAAATGTTTTGAGCAAGTATAGGTGTATTTCAGAGTAACTCTTTAAGGATAGGCCAGCGGGGGGTCCAGACACCCCTGTGGGAAAACAAAATGGTTTCATAGATAATGATTTATAATAATAGAATTACCAATGTCCGATGACTGCCCAAGGAAACAAGCAGATGAGATTACAGTATGCAAATTCAAGAAATACCTAATCTAGGAGTCTGGCTCCTCTGAGTTGGAAAAATAATAAGACACCAATGGAGAGGAAAGGAGATTGGAGATAAAGATTGAGTTGAGTTAGCAATCTGATTAGGGACAAGAAGTAAAGCCAAATTTGTTTTCTTCCTGAAGTGTGGGTGCTGTAAACGACCCTCAGTAAAGGATCTTCAGGGAAGGGAGCCCAGGAAACGCAGCCCAGAACTGAATAATGATTCGTGATACCAAATCAAAAACATAGTAATATTAATATTAATTCTAATTATAAAATGTAAACCCATCTCCTAAAATTAATTTATGGGAAGACAAATATCCAGGTTGCAAAATGTTGAAACTATAAATCTTATGGCACAGAAGGAATGGAAAGTTCCCAGAATACCTGTTTCTCTCTCTTTCATATACATATTTTTAAATTAACTTTTTAGTTTTAATTCCAGTATTGTTAACAGTGTTATATTAGATTCAGGTGTATGATATAGTGAAGTATATCTGTCTTTCAAGCCCAAGATGGTGGAGAAGAACCAAACAAAATGAACGTGAAAGCGAATGTGTGAAGGGAGGCAAGAAGGCCGAATAGGTGAATAAAAACACATTGACTGGCAGAGGAGGTCTTGGGGTTCAGAGTAAAATTTTCCTGAGGAGGTTGCCCTGTCCCCCAAAAATGTTCCTTTGAGAATGACTGAACTAAAGGAATATAGAGGTTTTTTCTTTTTCCTTTTAGTTTGCTTTTAACTTACCGCTAAGCATTTTCTGAAATGTCTGTAACTAGTATCACCTCTTCTTGGGGTAACCATTCTTGTCCTTTTGAAATGCAATGCATATTGAAGTATCATACAAATATAATCAGATCAAATATTCATACTCCTCTTTCCCAAATAAAATTTTAAAATGAAAAGCTTTTCATGATATTTTAAAAATCTCACACCACATGTATTTTCTCTACCTCTCTTAACACATTCTGGAATACCATCAGAAATGGTATCTGATAGATGTTTTAAGTTCTGGACCTTTCTGGTAAACAGATAATGTGAAATTTGAAAGAGCTTATATTACTGATAGATACATAATTAGTTTCTTTCTAAAATATGATGGAAAAACTCTAATTGTCCCTCTTTTTTGTTGTTCTGAACGCCTTCTCAGTTTTATATCTAAAAAGAAATCACAGTTTTAGAGCTTAAAACAATTCCCTGAGACCAGCATTTATCACAATAACTTCAAAATAATATGAACAAATTACTTCTGAACCTGCTTATAATATCATGTTTGATCTGCTAGATATGATCTTTAATATTACTACTGTAATTGATTTTATAATAGTCATTCTAGCACAAACTATCTTTCTATTTATATTATTTCTAAATACCATTTATGTTCTCATATATGCATCAATACTGCTTGTAGCTCACATTATTACATTTACACCCGGAGAACTTCTTAACTAGATCTATAGTAAGACATCAACTCAATGAAAGCAAAATGCTGCCATTTAAATTTAGTGACTTTCACATTCTTAACAGAGCTTTCTGAGAAGGACATGTGAGATGGAATTTTCAAGGTTGTATACAACACGCTACTGATGCGAAATGCAGGGCTTAAACACTTGCCATATAGGACAGCTGTATCTGGAGAGAGATGGTGTCAATTTCTATGATGCTCATTGATGACTAAAGAATGATTTGGTTATTGGGTTGTGGGACCAATACTGGGGGATAATACTTTAAAATGCAGTCTTGGGGCACTGGGGTGGCTCAGTCGGTTAAGTGTCCAACTTTTGCTCAACTCATGATCTGGCAGTTTGTGAGTTCGAAACCCATGTTGGCCTCTGTGCTAACAGCTCAGAGCTTGGTGTCTGTTTCATATATTGTGTCTACCT